CACATAGTTTAACAATGATTCACAATTACGTCAAAGGTCTTTTAGTGGTCCAAGATTTTCAGGATACAGGATTTGTCATCATTTAGGAGGAAATACTGTCGATCGGTTGTACAGTAGTTCGTCATTCATTGACCTTATGTCGAAACATTTCTTCATTCATATTCATGGTAGCTCTCATTTATCGTTTTTAATGAGTATTCGTACTCATAAGTGATGACGTTCGAGTAGCGTTTCATGTATGATTTGTCGTATTCAAACTTCTTCTATTAATTTGAAAACATATCTAGATATGATAGAGACAGATTTGATTGTAGCACTATGGCTGATCTCTTTCGAGGAAAAAGATAATATCTTCAGTACGTGATTCAATTCATGAATTCATAGAGTGAGGAATCTTTACTAGTTCTTAAACCAACATCGCATATAGGTTCGGGATCTTCACTTGAATGATTCAGCCTGTTTTTGTGACGCCATTTCTTCTCTGGTTGTCGCACATACATTTCCTTGCTAGGATTCTAACAATATCATCGATAATAATCTTCAGAGATAGTGTAATCGTATTGATCGTTTTGTAGTCCCCAAAGAGAGGTTTAACATAATGTTTAAGTCAGGGTAGTTTTACTATTGTGATCGAGTCACGTATTCAAATAGGGTATAGTTTCCAAAGATCGATATCATGGTATCATTGAGTTTTGTTTTGGTTCCAATGAAGAATCATGGTTTTAGTATTTTGATACAAAGAATGGAATTCAATCTTTTCAAGATTGATCAAGCGAGATGTTTTCAAGGGTGTAGTTAACACAACAAGTTTGAGTATTTCAAGGATATGAGTCACAAGATACAAAGGTAGCGTTTGCGAATTATCGTTACTAATCGTAGGTTTTCTTCCTTCAATGTTTCACTCTTTGGAAGTTACTCAAGAGGTCGTTGTCTTAGGTAATAGCCGTTTTGACTTTTCGTCTCAGATTTGAACATATTCCAGGCCATCGAATATAACTGTTCACGAGTCTCAGTACGTCATATCATCAGCAGAGTGTAGTATTGGTGAGTACGTCATTATCAGTAGGTAAATCGAATCCATCCTTGCTGTACAAATTTCGACTAAGGATAATTATACTTTCCTCAAAGATTACATTTCAAGTCTATATATATAGCATGATTGTGATAAGGGTATCTCACATTCTCACATTATGGAAGGAACTTCTCGAACACTTCCTTACACTATAGGATTCGTTGGTCTACTTGGCAGTCATTCTCTTGGTAGAAATTCAAAGTTTATGGCTACTGCGGTAGATTTAGGAAGGGAATTGATAAGGCGAAAGATTAAACTTGCCTATGGAGGAGGTAGTGTTGGCCTTCAAGGAGCTGTTGCTTCAACAGTCTTTACCAATGGTGGTCTCGTTAGAGGTTTCATTCCTGGGTACATAGCAACACGACGGGTCTACGGACCTACGTACGGTGTAGAGCATATAGTTTCCAGCAACTATTACAAATATTTGGAGATGAATCATGCCGTGGAAGCTTTCATTGTTCTTCCTAGAGGAGTTGACACTTTGGAAGGTTTGTTCACTTTGATCTCGTGGGCTTTTGAAGGGTTACACAATAGACCCATTGGTCTCTTAAATGTTAACGGTTATTTCAATAACCTAATCAAATTTCTAGACGATGCGGTGAGGCAGAACTTCATGGCTTTGAATCAGAGAAAACTTTTCATTTCTTCTTTCTTTGTTGATGAGCTTTTAGACAAATTAGAGTTTGCTAAAGCTTTCCCGGGTCCAGGGGTTAGCTACGATGAGTTTGTGAATCGTGGAAGACTAGACTTAGAATTGCATCTGTAACTTTCCTCTTGTAATCCAAGTTGCATCTTGTGTTGCAATGATATTATCCCTAAATATTCTCCTAGGCTGTATGGCTAGTGCGAGCTACATTTTCTTCATTCTTCAGTCTTTTACTATTGGTGTCACTGTTTCACATCTTGTTTTGTATTGTCACCACGTCGCAATCTTTTACGTCAATAGGGTTTACGAACTAGTCAACTATCTTAATGATTTGTTTTGTCAGCATCACTTACTTCATTTATTCGATTAGACTACATCGACGTTTTTGATGATAAGCAATTGGGTCATTAATCGCTTTATAACAAGGCATCAGTTCATTCAACAAGGTTGAGCGGTCTATAGCTTCTAACCAGCAGGTTAATTGAATTTGACCAAATAAGTCGTCAGTTCATAGCAAAGGATAGCGATTCTTGATTGTTAGTTTGTTCAAGTTTCTTAACAGGGATTTGTGAGTATCATGACCGTAAGTCAATTTTAGAGAATACAATGGATTCTCTAAGCTGATCAAATAAGTCGTGATACGAGGTAAAGGATAACGAGTTTGTTCAACTAACAATTGTTGATATGGAGTCTCATTGATCCTTTAATATTCGCTTAAGAACAAAATAAGTATTCTCCCAAGGAGGAAACACTTGATCAGATGGAAGTCATTGATGGAAAACACGTTCAATACAGAGTAACGAATATTGGTCCTTTAGTTCAGATTTTTCTTTCGCGTATCACACGAAAAGACTTTACGCTTCTTTTGGTTGAGAGGTTTGCGCACATAAATTCGAGATAAACTCGGTCGGTTTAGAAATCAGCTTTGCTTTCACCTATATAAGGTTTCGATCATCGATCTTCAGTTGAAGAATTCTTCATCAAGAGTTGTCAATACCAACATCGTTCGATCAGCCAATGTATACTAATGATAATTGTCAAATTCCATGTATGGTATTTCAACGAAGTTTTGCAAGGAGTTGTCGCTTAACGAACGATTTCGATTCTTAAGATATAATTTCATATTTGCATCTTAATGAGTTAGACATCAGAATGGGATACTTTAGTTAACAAAGTTTATTGATTCTAAACGTTCGTGTTTGAATCAGCGATTAGATCGTCTTGAGTCCACATGAGTATCTTTGACATCGGCTTCACAGATGTTTCTCAACAATTATCGTTTCTTCATAGTCGTCTCACTTTCGTACGATTTTGCGATGCAGATTAGTTTCGTCCTTCACGATGCGATGTGTACATTAATGACGGATCAGAGGGTCATATGTTTTTCATTCATTCTTTCGTCTCTTCATTGAGTACGAAAGTTCTACTAGAGTCTAAGCTCGATACGATTTCAGTACTAATCAATTGTTATTCAATGAGAATTCTAACAGAGTAAATATTTACCAAGTAATTTCTCATACCTTTCCTTGAGCAGAGGGATGCGAGAGTCGTGGATTTGAATGACATCATTTTTTTTGTTTTTTTTTGAACCGAAAATATTTATATCATATATATATTAAAAAAAATTTTTTTTTTAAACAAACTTTTGATCCGAAGATCGGTTTTAAAACCAGAAGCTCTGATACCAAATTGTAACACCCTAATCCGTCCAGGTCTGCAACCCCTTTCGGACTAAAGTATTAACTTGGTAATCGTAAAATTTAAAACATTTCAAACACTTTTATTTATCATAATAATATTTTTGATATCATAAACAGTACAGAGTTTTCAATATTGCGGAAGCTTAACAAATCATAACCACAAACATAATTTATTTATATTCTTTAATTTAAAAACATCACATCCATTCCGACTATCTCGCCTCCGTCTGCCTTCAGGATCACGTCACATCATTCTATAGACCTGCGTGTAGCAAATAAAACACACTACACGCTCAGCGGTAAAGCTGAGTAAGCATATCTAATGCGTCGAACATCCACATAAATTGAATCTCAATTCATAATCAACCATTTGATATCATGCACATAATGTTCAGTTCAGATATTCAATAATCAATATCCAATTTTCAACATTCATTATTCAATCATCCAACATGTATATTCATCATTTGTCATTCAACAGTATCCTTAAACTATTCTTAGTCTAAAGCCAATCACTTTAATATTTGTCAACCCTTAAATGAATTCTAGTTTAACTAATTAAACTATATTCCAGTATACAGAGTACTCCTAATAATCCTTAAGCTAGGCCTAGTTTAAGATAAAAGGGTTTTGGAAATCTTAAACTTACCTTCACTTAAGGCCAACCAAAAACCGACNCAAACATCAATATATTCATTATGATTTAATCATTCATAATTTCCATTTAGAACATTTATCAAGATTTAATCATCATAATCATCAATCAATAATCATTACCATAATCATCAATCAACATAATATTCAATAACAATTAGCGGCCTAGTCTCGAGTGTTAACACCCGAACTTACCGTCATGCATCACATAACATATTAGGATTAATTAAAATATTATATTTACTTTAAAAATTATTTCATTTCTGTCTTGGAGTGGAAAAATATCATGATAGCATTTTTTTTGGAGTTAATTTCCGAACATGAAGATTTTGGACAGCTTAAAATGGCCTGTGGCGGTACCATCCTACCGTTTCACGGTAGTGCATTACCGTTGCACGGCAGTGCATTACCGTCGCACGGTAGTGCATTACCGCTACTGCATGCTGCATTCGAATCAAGAACAGTACTTCGTCTTCAACCTCAGTTCAAGCTTCGTGAATATCATTTTGAGCTACCAAACTTCAATTAAACTATATAGAAATGTTCTCCCAGGTTCATAGATCATTTTGGTGTCATTAATTCATAGTTTTAACATCAAATTCAAGGTTTATGATTCTTAGTTTTTCAAACATGTCAAACACAAAACTCAACCAAATGACCATTTATGAACGTAGAAACGATCTATATGAACATTCTAGTCATTAGATATATCAACGGGCTTACCTCAAAGTTAAACGATGATTCCGGCGATTTAACGGCGAAACTTCCGGCGAACACCACGACTTGCTCCGGCGACTTCTTGAAAGGTAACCACGGTTGGGAGGGCAGCGGAAATACAAAAATTTAAACTCCCAATAGTGATTACTAGCCCAAGAACACGTACTAAAACTATAGCTAGAGATAGAAACTTATACCTTCTCCGGTAAAGCGGTATGAACGAGAAGTCGAGCAAAAGGTGTTGAAGGAGCAAACGTAGCCGTTCAAGCGTCTGGCCTCCAACTTTGACACACGAACAATCTCTGGAGTCTACTACAATCTTTATGCTAGTAAAGATTATAATAGTATTTTTAATATAAAGATTTAAAAGGGATAATATTAATCTTGTATATTAAATAGTAGAAAATATATCAATAATATTTTAAAGAAAATATTATATCAATTTTCTACACAAAATATTAATATTTGGGAACTCAAATATTTTCTCTTTTCTCTCTTTGCTTGGCCGAAGTTCACCTTCTAAAAGGGAGAGAAGATAGCATTTTATAAATCAAAATGAATAATGCAAAAACATATACATTTGCAAAAGGCCAAAAGGACACATTATGAAATGTAGTGGGAGACACAAGTCCCCACGCATAATTCCATACATCCATTTACGAAACTAAGGGGGAAGAATTTAAAATTCTTTCTCCTCTCAAATGTTTAAAGTGTGTTTTATTTAACATCAATAATTTTTATGATATAAAATAAAATACCCAAAACATTTTAAAACAAGTATATAAAATATACTTTAAAATAGTTTTTTGTCAAAATAATTATTTTCATAATTAAAATGACACTCCAAAATAAAATGTACACAATATAATATATAATGTAATATATATATACATATATGTACACGTTATAAGTATATTACATATATATGTACCCACGCACATTATATATGTATACTTATATATATGTGTGTGCCGTGTACAAAGTATATACATACATACATATATATATATATATATATATATTATTAAACATTTTACTTTACTATTTTACAATATACAAATTATATATTATCCCTTCTTATAATCCTACTCTTTAAATTGTCCAAAGTGTGTGACCCATATAGGCACTTATAAAACTGGCCAAAGTAATGACTCTACACCAATACTATAAGTAATAAGCGGTATCTAACAACACATTATTACCCCCAGATTATAAGTTCAGACGTTTGCTCCGTCAAAACCTTTCTACGACTAAGACTTTGTATAACGTAGATCCTTTTGTCCCAATGTCTTAACTTAGTGCAAGGGACATAAAATATCCAACTTGTAGCCATTAAGTTATTTACTGATTAACAAGTGTGACTGATGAGAACAGATGTCTAAACTCATCTCAGCATGGCCATGCATTTCTTCAGTCATACTTATCAGTGGGCCCCTACAAGACATTATTCTGCTTGAGTAGCAGTGACAAATTCTTTGTACATAATCTACGTCTTCGAATACGTGCAGCGGCATGCCCAATACAAAGCCTGTGTACCATCCTTATTTCATACGGCTTAGGACAATGAATCAAAGCATGCGGGTTCACACATTCAAAGAACGTAATACTTCAAGTCTGAGGATCGTTATACCAATAGTCGCATTAAGGACACTTAGAGCATAGACTAAAAGTCTAGGCAATGCCCTTAAGGTGGGTCAGGTCTGGCATCCTATTATTAACGATAATATCTGCCCAAGAGTAGATGCGAACACTCCGTCATTGACCAAGAGACTAGGTCAAACATCTAACTCTCACTAGTCTCACGCGCATTAACGATATCCTGCTCTCGTTAATGCTTCGACTATAGACCATTTAGAATTATACTTTATACTAAGTGACAAGATGTCAGTCTCAACATCAGAAGACTCATTCTGATAAGCATCTTATAATATAATTCTAGGAATGCAATTAAGAGTTTACATTAGCATGAGATGTTTGTAAACTTAATGCATCTGCCTTTACATGATAGAAAATCACTAAGATATTACAACAGCAGTTGGCCATAAGGGCACCAACTCCAACAATCTCCCACTTGCACTATGGCCAACAGCAGTTGTCCACTTTCCCAAGGGCTTGGTCAGGGGGTCGGCTATGTTGTCGTCTGTTCCTACTTTGCAAATCTCTACATCACCTCTGTCTACGATTTCTCGTATGATGTGATAACGTCGTACAATGTGCTTGGTCTTTTGGTGAGATCGTGGTTCCTTTGCCTGTGCAATGGCCCCAGTGTTGTCGCAAAACAACGGGATTGGGTCATTAATGCTAGGAACCACTCTAAGTTCAAAAATGAACTTCTTTATCCAAACACCTTCCTTTGCTGCTTCAGCAGCACCCATGTACTCAGCCTCTGTAGTTGAATCGGCGGTTGTGTCCTGTTTAGAACTCTTCCAGCTAAAAGCTCCGCCATTCAGGCAAAACACATACCCTGCTTGTGACTTGTAATCGTCTCGATCGGTTTGGAAGCTAGCATCAGTGTAACCGATCACTTTCAGCTCTTCCTCACCTCCATATACCAGGAATACATCCTTAGTATTCCGAAGATACTTTAGGATGTTCTTGACCGCTGTCCAGTGTGTTTCACCTGGATTCCCCTGGTATCTGCTGGTCACGCTTAAAGCGAATGAGACATCAGGTCTAGTACATATCATGGCATACATGATGGAACCAATTGCAGAAGCATATGGGACCTTCATCATGAGTTCCTTCTGCTCGGGAGTAGAAGGACTCTGGCTCTTGGAAAGAGCCGTGCTAGGTATCATAGGTAAGGATCCCTTTTTCGAGTTAGACATGCTAAATCGATTAAGGACCTTATCTATATATGTACTTTGACATAGACCTATCAACTTTCTTGACCTATCACGGTAGATTCTTATGCCAAGGGCATAACTAGCATTCCCCAAGTCCTTCATGGCGAAGTTCTCGCTCAACCAAGTCTTTACAGANAACGACAATGCCAAAGGTATGTGAGATTCAAACTGTTTGGTTTGCTTCTCTTAACATCTACGTTATAAACAGTGGCGTCTAAGTCTAAGATATAAAGACCATTGGTCATCTTAGCAGTTGCATAGTAAATATCATTTCTGAAAACCGAAAGGCACTTGTCTTTGACGTTAATAGAAAATCCTGCTTTGTCAAGACAGGACACAGAAATGATATTCCTGCTAATGGCAGGTACAAACAAGCAATTGTTTAAATGCAACAACAAGCCACTAGGGAGAGATAGAACATAAGTTCCTACAGCCAGCGCATTGACAAGTGCTCCATTTCCGACCTTAAGCTGGACTTCTCCCTCAGTCAAATGTCTAACTTCATGCAGATTCTGTATTGAAGTACAGATGTGGGAACCACATCCGGTATCCATCACCCAAGAGGTGAAATCAGACATATTGACTTCGATAACGTAAATATCTGAGTTTTGGGGTTGACCCTGGTAAAGGTCTCTCAAGCGTTGTATCATAGGACGCACTTCCATGTCCGCGTGGAGCCTTTGGAGCTCCGCGGTCATACTGGCCATAATGATACACTTAACATCTCGCGCGTCGTCCTCATACTTCTTGAAGGAAGTGAGTTCGGACGCACGAGCATTAGCCGCAGGGGTCTTGGGAGGATCTGTTTCGAGGATGTAGAGTTCCCTCTCATAGTCAAGAACGATTCGGAGGTTCTTCTCCCAGTCAAGAAAGTTTTCCCCAGAGAGTTTTTGGCTCTCGAGGATATAGCGCAGGTTGATGGAATGACTGTACGTGTTATTCGATGCCATCTACAGAATGAAATTGCAAACTAGGTTATCTATCATGTTAAATAATTAATTAGGCCTTTAATTAATTATTTCCCACTATTTTAACAAACCAACAACCCTCAATGTTGATTCAGAGATTCTCCTAGAGATTCTCTTAATGGGCCAAGATCCATATATCATTAAATTCAGTTGACCTGAGGTTCGTACCTAGAATTTAACTATTTAGGTAGGAACATAGTTCCAACTGTCGAGCCGCGCTCACAGTTCTTGGTCTTGTGTTGGGCGAACGACAATACTACTAACGGACCAGAACACCGTTTCATTATACATGTGATTGGCTTTGGCACGTACCACATGCACAACTACTTTAGTTAGGGCCAAGCCCAATTAAGTCATAGAGACCCAACTTCTGGCTGGATGAGTGAGTAAAGTAATTCGACTTGTCAGTATAGTGACCCCAACAAAACCCGCCTCTGAGTCATCCATCCATTTAACCGAGACTCAGTTAAGTCTAACCCAACGTCTGACAATGACCACTTAAGTGATTCCCGTGACCAGCATAACATACAACGTACTACGCTCTGCTAGGGCTGAGTACGTGACAATGCACGTTAGCCGGAAAGGTGCCGGGCGCCGGAAGGCAATACAGACTTAATATTTTGAGGGATTTTAAATTTTACGATCTCACCTACGACACATGCCGCGCACGTGTCAATTTACTAGCGTAAAACATACATTCACATGCATTCAAAATACGCTGTAAATAAACGTGTAATGATTGTGGCCCCTAAAGGAAAAATAAAACGATAGCTCCCACTGACTTCCAGGTTCTTGGACTTCGGGCTATCTCCATTCCTTTAGATTCTCTTGAACGGACATCAAATCTTTTATCTTCTAACGACCACGTGAGAAAAGAATCCTCGGTTGAGGTAAGAGAGAGAAATAGATTTACAACGAGAGTTTAAGAGATAAGGCACGACACGCAGGCCGTATTATAATCAAATAAACTATAGCCACAATCATCCACCATGCATATCATACATCCACACAGGCAATAGAGATATACATACACCGGGCGAACCGCGCTCGCCCCAGACAATTCTAGAAAAATACTACGTTGGTAATATTTTCTAAAATTCATAAAAATTCATAAAGTGGTCCAAAAATTATGAAATTTTACCAAGTCATCCTAAATACATTAGGTGACTTTCGGCCAGGGTCAAAATTTGAAAAAAAATTCCAGTAGATACAGAATTACGAAAATGCCCCTAGTGCAATGTTTATTCCAAAATTCATTTTAAATTTGAAATAAAATGCAAAAATCATGAAAATTAATTTCCCACTTCCAGTAACTATTTTATACATTTATAAATCGGAAAAATAAATTTCCAGCCTTTATAAATATTTATTTCCCAAATATATTAATTATATCTCAATAATTGCAAAAATAATTTTAAATCATTTTTCAAAAATCATTAAATTATAAAATTTAATATTTAGAAAAATATAATTACTTTTTACTGAGATATAATTTAACAAAATGATATTAGCCATTTTCAATTAATATATATATATATATATATATATATATATATATATATATATATATTACTCGGTAATATATATATACCGAAATATATATATATATAATTAATTACTAACTAATATTATTTTGTCCAATATATTTATGAACAACTTTATTTCAACTAGAAATAATATTTCCAAGTTTTATAAAGTTCATTTTTGAGTTTCCAATATTTATTTAAGATTTATTGGAATTAAATCTAAACAAATACAATTGACTCAAAAATTGGAAATAAACAATTTCGAAAATTACAATATAATTTTACTAACCATAAAATGAAATTTTATGTTCAACAAAAATATATTAACAATTTCGAAATATATATATTAATATATATTCGAAATTTCCGAATATATGTATAAAATACATATTTTCGGCACAAATAAATAATGAATATTTATTTTAATGATTTATTTAAGTCCAATATTTATTCCAAGACTAAAATAAATCATTTTACGAATTTTCGAAATTAACAAATAATTACCAAGTTAAAAAATAATTTTCAACCGAAAAAGTTCTATGAAAAACAATAGTTTTGTACGTTGGCTCTGATACCACTGAAAGGTAACCACGTTTGGGATGGCAGCTGAAATACAAAAATTTAAACTCCCAATAGTGATTACTAGCCCAAGAACACGTACTAAACCTATAGCTAGAGATAAAAACTTATACCTTCTCCGGTAAAGCGGTATGAACGAGAAGTCGAGCAAAAGGTGTTGAAGGAGCAAACGTAGCCGTTCAAGCATCCGGCCTCCAACTTTGACACACGAACAATCTCTGGAGTCTACTACAATCTTTATGCTAGTAAAGATTATAATAGTATTTTTAATATAAAGATTTAAGAGGGATAATATTAATCTTGTATATTAAATAGTAGAAAATATATCAGTAATATTTTAAAGAAAATATTATATCAATTTTCTACACAAAATATTAATATTTGGGAATTCAAATATTTTCTCTTTTCTCTCTTTGCTTGGCCGAAGTTCACCCTCTAAAAGGGAGAGAAGATAGCATTTTATAAATCAAAATGAATAATGCAAAAACATATACATTTGCCAAAAGGACACATTATGAAATGTAGTGGGAGACACAAGTCCCCACACATAATTCCATACATCCATTTACGAAACTAAGGGGAAAGAATTTAAAATTCTTTCTCCTCTCAAATGTTTAAAGTGTATTTTATTTAACATCAATAATTTTTATGATATAAAATAAAATACCCAAAACATTTTAAAACAAGTATATAAAATATACTTTAAAATAGTTTTTTGTCAAAATAATTATTTTCATAATTAAAATGACACTCCAAAATAAAATGTACACAATATAATATATAATGTAATATATATATACATATATGTACACGTTATAAGTATATTACATATATATGTACCCACGCACATTATATATGTATACTTATATATATGTGTGTGCCGTGTACAAAGTATATACATATATACATATATATATATATATATATATATATATATATATATATATTATATTAAACATTTTACTTTACTATTTTACAATATACAAATTATATATTATCCCTTCTTATAATCCTACTCTTTAAATTGTCCAAAGTGTGTGACCCATATAGGCACTTATAAAACTGGCCACAGTATTGACTCTACACCAATACTATAAGTAATATGCGGTATCTAGCAACACATTATTACCCCCAGATTATAAGTTCAGACGTTTGCTCCGTCAAAACCTTTCTACGACTAAGACTTTGTATAACGTAGATCCTTTTGTCCCAATGTCTTAACTTAGTGCAAGGGATATAAAATATCCAACTTGTAGCCATTAAGTTATTTACTAATTAACAAGTGTGACGGATGAGAACAGATGTCTAAACTCATCTCAGCATGGCCATGCATTTCTTCAGTCATACTTATCAGTGGGCCCCTACAAGACATTATTCTGCTTGAGTAGCAGTGACAAATTCTTTGTACATAATCTACGTCTTCGAATACGTGCAGCGGCATGCCCAATACAAAGCCTGTGTACCATCCTTATTTCATACGGCTTAGGACAATGAATCAAAGCATGCGGGTTCACACATTCGAAGAACGTAATACTTCAAGTCTGAGGATCGTTATACCAATAGTCGCATTAAGGACACTTAGAGCATAGACTAAAAGTCTAGGCAATGCCCTTAAGGTGGGTCAGGTCTGGCATCCTATTATTAACGATAATATCTGCCCAAGAGTAGATGCGAACACTCCGTCATTGACCAAGAGACTAGGTCAAACATCTAACTCTCACTAGTCTCACGCGCTTTAACTATATCCTGCTCTCGTTAATGCTTCGACTATAGACCATTTAGAATTATACTAAGTGACAAGATGTCAGTCTCAACATCAGAAGACTCATTCTGATAAGCATCTTATAATATAATTCTAGGAATGCAATTAAGAGTTTACATTAGCATGAGATGTTTGTAAACTTAATGCATCTACCTTTACATGATAGAAAATCACTAAGATATTACAACAGCAGTTGGCCATAAGGGCACCAACTCCAACAATTCTCACCAAATTGACAGCATCATTGGAATCTCCATACTTAGAGGAACATGTTAGGAAGAAGAATTTCATGAATTGATGGAGAAATGAAGGAGAAGAGGGATGCTTTATATAGTGAAGAAACTAGAGAAGATGACAATGTGGGTTGGTGTTTGTGATCCTTCGTTCGGCGTAGTGGGATTGGCTGCGATATGTTCTGATTTCCTACTCCACTCCCTGATTGGGACCAATTTTGGTTCTAATCGGGGTACACTTTTTGGTTCAACTTTCTCCGAATTGAAATCCGTTTGCACCGTTGCGATCGTGAAATTAAACTCTATCCAACGATATAATTTTTACATTTATTCGTTATACTTTTTCCAAAATCATATTTTTGGGTGTTTGATTTTGACAGAGTCAAAATTGATTCAATTGACCTTTATTCAAAAAGGTTCTCATAATTAATTCATATCATTTATTCCCATGATTTATTTTAGTAAATCTTTTCAATATTTACATCACAAGTCAATTTCTTAATTTATTCTTGATTTGGGTCTGTACTCAGGTTCCCAATCAAGACCATACAAATAGTCAACATATTGGGTTTATCTCTATGAGATTTATCCTGCTTGTGATATTAGATATCAAAACACATTTTATTTCGGCTCAAAGCCCAACAATAATTTATTTTAATCAAAACAAATTTTGTTTAATTGAATATTTAATTCAAGAAATTTTAGGGTATATTTTGGGGCGTTACATGATGTAAAGGAGGTTAAACCCAAACCTTGGTTTCCTTCTGGAATGTTGATCCAAACCTTTCCATCCTTGTGGAATGCACTAAGTTTAAAGTGATTACCAGTTCTAGAGGATTGGAATGAGACTGAAAGCAGTCTATTGTTCTCCCTAAGGTGAGTGGATCGAAGGTATCCCACTTGAGTGACAGATTTGAGATTATCCAGGAGCCAAGTACTAAGGTCTAACCCTAGCCAAATATTTAGCTTCCTATTCTTCTGAACTTCTGTAATACATATCTTCTTGTTGAATCTTGAAGGGGTAAAGAGGAAAGTCTTACCTTCAATTCGAAATATTTGAGATGTAGAGATTGCTGTTGATTGATTGGGATTTTTGATTTCATCCCTGGAAATTGGCGGAGCCCCCCTTAAGATGTCAGCGTAGCTTTCTCCGATGGAAAGCATCGTCGCTTGGGCAATTGAAGGACTCTCGATTGAAGACTTAGTCGGGGCTGGATGATCCTTGGAAGAGGAAGGGATATGGCCATTCACCGGTTCTGTATAAAATGAGTGTGGAGGTTTGATGATTGGTGGAGCTGATGAAGGTTGGCGGTGGGTTTGTAAAGAAAATTGGCCTGAACAGTTGGCCGGTCCGATGAGTAAATCAGAGCGTAGAAAGCTCTCGCCTCTCTCTACAGATCTCGCCATTTATTTTATATATATATATATATATATATATATATATATATATATAATTTGGTTCCGGTGAGAATGACATCTTATGAGAGAAATAAGAATCATTCTAGACCGTTGGATTATTGCCACGCAAGAGTTAGTAAAGTTTCCTTTCTAAATACCTTAAGGGGCAAATTAGAGATAAAACTAAATGGGAGAAAGACCAAAGTAGGACTAAAACTTTGAAAATATACCAAAATAGGACTTCCATATTTTTATTCTCGAAATAGGACTTACATTACAAACCATGGTCATATACATTACCAAAAAACATAGAAATTTGCACATGTACATTGCTACATTACCACAATGCAAGGTCACATTACCACAGTGCAAAGTCCTATTCTGGGGAAAAAAACATGAGAGTCCTATTTTGGTACTTTTATCTATGTTTTAGTCCTATTTAGGATGATTTCTAAAACTAAATAGCATATACGCACTCCGCCATCTCCCATTCTTTCCATTTTAATTTTATTTCCTTGACCTCACATTTTTAATATCTTGTAGATTTATATTCCTTAATCTAGATGGAAGTTTATTATCGCCATTACAAATAGAGTTTTTCTTTTTAATGTACTAATTGTTACTCTGTAATTTCAATTTGTTTTCGTTTGCATGAACTTTAAAAATATAATGGGTAGAGTCAGACTTATCATTTTGTAACATTACAATGAAAATATTCTTGTGATGAAACATAACTTTTAAAAATTAAACTACAATAAAATTTCTTTTGTTCCATGCTTTTTAATATTTTAAAAATTTCATAACAAAAAATATGTAAATTAGATTAATTTATAAATTATACAGTTGGATTTTCGTGTTCAATAGCTATACATAAAAATTAGTTTTATCAAAATATTGTTCCCTCAAAAATCCCTTTATGTTTTGTCAAATGCATAAATAATGTTTATTGGACCAAAGTATAATTTAAAAATACTTCTATTATGCAATAAGTTTTAGACCATGTTTCATTGAGTTACATCCATACTTAACAACTCCCACAATACGCATTTTTAGTGCATTATATAAAACATTTACTGCATCAGAAAGATTTTATAGTGCATATTATATAGAATCCACTCTTGTAGTATGCATTTTTAGTGCGTTATATAAAATATTCAGTGCATCAGAAAGATTTCGTAGGGCATATTATATAGCAATCTCCACAAGGTCAATTACCATGGATATGGCACTTCACGGGACCAAGATGAAGATGACGATGGGTAATCATAGAGCAAGATGTTTATAAATGCGTATTATACCCCATAGATAAGCATCATAGAGAATTAAAAGTGCATTGCAGTTTAACATGGTTTTCATCGCTACTAATGTTTAATCATTATATTGATGAACAAACACTTTGTGGATTTCTATTATTGTGCATTCTATGAATAAAGGTAATGCATTTCCATTATAAAGAATTGCATTCTTAAAGTCGAGGTAAAGGATTATTGTATATTCTAAGAACAAAAGTGGATTTTTATCTATGAGATGGTGAAATTCTCATTACACAATTATGATGCACTAATGTATTCTAGATAATGAAAATTTTGCAAACAATGATGCACCGAAATGTAATGTGATACATTTGAATATGGATAAGAAACACGTTCAGTGATGCAGATTTAAATAATTAAAATGCATATTTAATATGTTTAAGTATAAGATGAGAATATCTTTGAAAAACCAAATTCTTGTTTATAAGCTCAAATGGTAGAGCGGTAAGCATTATGGGTGTGGGTTTGAATATAATCCCGCATAGGTAAACTATTTTTCAAATTTGTATCACACTTGGTTGAAATGCAATGCATTCTCAGGTTTTCTCATCACATACAAAGTCAATTAGTAGTCATTATTCACTAATCAAAAAATTAAGAATTAAAATTTGAATAAAATCAAAACGACAAATCACAACGCATATATCAACCATCACATTGCATTGGAAAAAATGGAATATTAAAAAGCATCCCATAAAAAGATGATAATACAATATTATTTTATCAAATGAGTAACAAAAAAAATTGAACAAAAGAAATAAGATGTTAAAAAAATAAAGTAAATAAAGTTTGACACTATAAATGATAAATATGTCATTTAAATTAGAACGGAGAAAGTATTCAATATAGGTATCGTTTGGTAGATCTCTAACAACAAATTATTTGTCAAAGACGGACTTGGGTACAAAAAGTTATGTGTAAATAAGCATTATAGTAGAATAAGAAAATGAAATTAATTTTTTTATGTAATAAAATAGAAAGTGCAAAGTATGGGGGATTTTTATAGCGTTTCTCTAATGTACTTTTTGTTTTCCGTGTATACCCTTATTAACTACTACCACCCTATTTTAAAGGAATCTAATTAATACTTAACATTTTAATTAGTCGCCAACCATTAAACATGATGTAAAATCTTGGCCATCCAATTCATCTCATCTAATGGATCATTATCGTTCTTATTTCTTTCACCAAGCACCATTCTTACTGGAACCGGCCCCTATATTTATATTTATATATATATATATATATATATATATAGACACACACACACACATTTTTATTATAACAAAAAAACGTACATACTAAGTAATAAATACATATACAAAATATATTTACATATTTTATTTTACTATTTTACAATATACAAATTAAATATTATCCTTTCTTATAATCCTACTCTTTAAATTGTTCAAAGTGTGTGACCCATATAGTGGCACTTATAAAACTGGCCACGGTATTAATTCTACACAATACTGTAAGTAATAAGCGGTATCTAGCAACACATTATTACCCCCAGATTATAAGTTCAGACGTTTGCTCCGTCAAAACCTTTCTACGACTAAGACTTTGTATAACGTAGATCCTTTTGTCCCAATGTCTTAACTTAGTGCAAGGGATATAAAATATCCAAGTTGTAGCCATTAAGTTATTTACTGATTAACAAGTTTGACTAATGAGAACAGATGTCTAAACTCATCTCAGCATGGCCATGCATTTCTTCAGTCATACTTATTAGTGGGCCCCTATAAGACATTATTCTGCTTGAGTAGCAGTGACAAATTCTTTGTACGTAATCTACGTCTTCGAATACGTGCAGCGGCATGCCCAATACAAAGCCTGTGTACCATCCTTATTTCATACGGCTTAGGACAATGAATCAAAGCATGCGGGTTCACGCATTCGAAAAACGTAATACTTCAAGTCTAAGGATCGTTATACCAATAGTCGCATTAAGGACACTTAGAGCATAGACTAAAAGTCTAGGCAATGTCCTTAAGGTGGGTCAGGTCTGGCATCCTATTATTAACGATAATATCTGCCCGAGAGTAGATGCGAACACTCCGTCATTGACCAAGAGACTAGGTCAAACATCTAACTCTCACTAGTCTCACACGCACTAACGATATCATACTCTCGTTAATGCTTTGACTATAGACCGTTTAGAATTATACTAAGTGACGAGATGTTAGTCTCAACATCAGAAGACTCATTCTGATAAACATCTTATAATATAATTCTAGGAATGTAATTAAGAGTTTACATTAGCATGAGATATTTGTAAACTTATTACATCTACCTTTACATGATAGAAAATATCTAAGATATTACAACAGCAGTTGGCCATAAGGGTACCAACTCCAACAGGGACCATATTGGGAGGTTGTTGCAAGATGAATGGGGTTGTTTTGGTTTCTTATTTTAACCAGCGGTTAAAATAGATGGAAGAGACTTTATTTTGGATATCAAAAGGAAATAAAATACTTTTAGATATTTGAGGTTGGGTTGGACGGAATGGGGATTGGCCAGCGGAACCCCTAGGTCCAAAACGAAAGTTATTTTGGCCTTTCGGGTTAAAGGACATTGAATTCTCACTAAAAATCGATCATAATGTTTGAACGTAAGTTTTTTGGCTCCCATGATTGTGTGAGGCGTGGGGAAGGACCTGAAAGGGTCGGACTCGGATACATCATTAAGAGTGGAAGAAAAGCATTGTGCATTCAAGGAAATAGTAGGCAATTTGAGTTGCATTGTGTAACTTTTCCTTGGCAGCTAAGGAAGACCGCAATGAAAATGGAGAAATTTCATGAAATTTCTAGGAAATAACATACTGATTAATCAATGTATCAAGGATAACAACAATTAGAATGGAAGTTTTCTGAATACCATAACTGTACAAAGCATTGTGATAATAATGTTCACTAATGGGAGCAAGGAACAAGTACATAATTATTATTATCACTAATGAACTTGAAGCATCCAATCCATATCAAATAGTAGTTTCACAAAGTAAATAATGATACAACAACATTTACCATAGATCTGCCATATTAAAAAAATTCTACGGATTTCTAGTTAACAGGATGAAAAAAAATTAAGCATTAGTCATTTGCCTAAGAAAAAGAATGTTAACAAACCTAAATTTAAGCAGCTTCCTAGTTGCTGTTGTAGCTGTTGATGTTGTTATTGTTGGCAGCTGTGCTGTTTTTATTGCAATGGTGACTACTGTTACCAACACTCCACCCGTTTTTTAGCTGGGATAACTCCAACTGTGTTTTAATAAAGAACTGCATTCTCTGCAATTCCAACTCCTTGGCAAACTTCATCCTCTGCTTTTCAGTCTCCACCATCTGCTGCAGCTTTGCACTCTCTGCTTGCTCATAAGCCTCCCCGAACTTTAGAATGGCTTGAGACAACTCTCTCAATGAATTTGCCCAATTACTATCAGAAGTGCCAACTCCACACCCTCCTCCTCCTCCTCTAGGAATTGTCGTGGGTGGTCTAACAGCCACCACACTGGAATTCATCCTAGGCCTCTTTTTCTCAGAAGTGGGAGGTGGAGAGCTATCACTTGAATTGGGAGAAGGCTCCAGCTCTGACTCTGACGTCTCTGAATAAACATGAGGAGGCCTTCTTCGAAAGCCGGGCTTCTGCCTCTGCAGCAATTGTGGCTGGTGTTGCCGGAGCTGAAAAGCAGATCTTGCTCCCATAGGTTTACCCATTGGAACCTTATGGTGGCTTGCGGAAGTCTCACCTCCTCCAGTCTTCCCTGCAGGGCCAATCAATTGATCCAGCTTTTCAAAGAATGTCCACCTGCTGGGTCCTTGGCCAGCCCCAATCTTCGCCTTCTCCAGCTTGTACTTCTTCTTCACGGTGTCAATCCGGTTCTTGCACTGAATATCAGTTTTGGGGGGTTTGGTATAATCATCCCGACTGCTAACAAGTTCCGCAACATCTTTCCAGTGTTGCTGCTTTAAATTTCCCCGACTCAACTCTAGGTACCTCTCACCCCATGCATCAATTAGCACCGCCGTAGCACCTTCACTCCAGCAATCTTCTCTCCCGCTGCCGCCACCACCTCCGGAGGTCTTTGACAGGTGTTGTATGGGTAAAGCTAAGGTCAAGGTATTACTGTTCGGAGGTGGAGGGGCGGATGCAACCGTAACCGTTATCCTGCCGTTGGACCGAGGTGATGCCGGAGATCCAGTCCCCTCTGAAGGCTGTGATTGTACTTCGTCATCGTCTTCCATCGTCAAAGCGGTATTCTTATTTACGGAAAGTGAAGACCGACACAATTATGAGAGAGAGAGAGAGCTGGTGTCGGCCGACGGGCGTTGTGATCATCTAGGGTTTTCGTTGATCACCAGGTGACCTCAATGGCTCGTTCTGGGAACTAAACCGGATGCCGACCGGTAAATGGGGGATCGATCTACCGATGGGGGTCAAAATTCAACAACATTAACATAGAGCATTCCATCACCCAACTCTAGGGTGGACACGGTATGATTCCGGTCTGACTCCGGTGTCAAAACATGCGGTTCCGGTACCGTCACCCTATAGCACCGTTATCGGTATTGGTGCTGATGGACAATAAATCCACCAAATGATCCAATTCAGAAGAATGGATCACAAGAAATAAAATAAGAACAAGAACTCGAGAAATATTTGTGTATTATTAGCTAAATTTAGCTTGAGGATCCCCCTTTCAGGTCCCCTCTATTTATACATGGATTCTTGGATAGTTAAGGTAATTCACAATCAAAAGGAAGTCTCATCCGCCAATGGCGTGATCCTCTTTTCTCGGCTAAGTCCCCGCCTTCAGCTGAGTCTCCTCTTGTACATAGATTGGCTCTTCCAGTTGTCTCTTGAATTAGGTTGATTCGGGCCCCGCATCTTGGGCCGGCCCAGATTCAAGCCTTCACCGCATGCTTGACCCGCCGCCTTCTAGGTAAGATGTTTGGGCCACCTGTTGGATATCGGCCCATCACAAGCCCCCCAACTCCTCATTCCTCAGACGGGCCACCTTGAGGGATGGGGAGTTTACGAAGTCCACATGGGCTCCCCCTCAACGGATCCGAGCCGTTCATTGGGTTTCGCGTGACGTTTGGCACGATCTCCACTAAAAGCAATCATGGCCTGCAGTTTCGCCTTCTAACGTTCTGATAAAACCTCCGCAGGACGCCATTCTTCCCTACCTGCTACACTTGCTTCTTCACTTGCTCTTCCTCCATTACCCGACCCGTTTTCCTTCTACTTCAGGTTAGTTCCCCCTTTTACCATCATGATTGTCTGTGATTCTGACTCGGCTTCTTCGTCGTCTAGTTCTCATCAAGCCGGTCACTCGGCCTCTGGCCATGACCAAGGTCAGACCAATTCTTCTCAGCCATCGCCGGTGGCCGTGCCCGGCCAAAAGCTGCGCCAGCTGAGGAAGCAATCCCCCCCCTCGACCCCGGCACTGAAGGGCAAGAGGGTTAGACTGGATGAGAACATCATGGGGTTGTGCCATTGTCAAATTACTACCCGTGGGTTCTCCGACGCCACTAACATGGTCGGGCCCTCTATTGAAGTCCTACGGCCCACTAGCACCCAAACCGCCCTGGATGCTCCTTCAGGGTTCTTTACCGTTCATCTGGCCTCTTTGAAGAAGGGGCTGCGATTCCATTTTCACTCGTTGTTGATTGAGTTCCTCAACGAGGTGGATCTCCTCCCTTGCCAACTGGTCCCAATTCTCACTGGTATATCGTCGGTTACTTGATCCGATGTAAGAAAGTAGAGGTGAAGCCTACCCTTGACCATTTCCTTTTTAACTTCAAACTGGCCAAAGGTCATGGGGATTGGGCGTCCTATGCCAGCCTTTCCCAACGATCCAGCAAACTCTTCACTAGCGACAAGAAAGGGTCAACCAAGGACTGGAAGCCCTTTTTCGTCTTTGTCTCTACGGGGCCCGAATCTCCTTTCACGGGTTCAGGGCTCCCATCCTTTCGTCGCGTCCCGTGTCCCCAATCTAACGCCACTCTCCAATCCATCACCCAGAAACTCTGTGGCCAAGGGGCCGTCGAGATTAAGAAGGTGGTGACCGAGGAATCTCTAGCAGCGCTGGGGTTTGAGTTTGTCCAGGATGAGCATCGCCATCAGCCTGACCTGCTAAGGGACATCCCTGAGGGAAGTTCTTACTGTGGGCCCTTTGGTAATAATTGTTTTCTCCATTAGGGATCTCAATTTTATCTCTTTCAGTGCTGAACTGTTCCATCCGTTTTCAGTTGAGCAAGAGGGGTTAGAAGAAGAGATGGAGGGTGATCTCTTGATCGGCCACTTCATTGCAGGGAGAAAGAGGAAGAGGGATGCAGCCCGGCAGACCAGGAGCAAGCGTTCGTCCTCGCGTGGCGAAGATGGCCCCTTTAGGAACAGGTTATTATCGAGGTGGAAGATCAGGACGATGTGGCTCCGGAAACGGGAATGATGGCGATTAACTCCCCGCCGCGTTCCTTGACGCTTGGGGTCGACCTGGCAGGGTCGTCTCAGAAGGCCATCTCGGAGCGACCTCCCTCACCACCTGAAGTGACCTACGAGGTGGCGATCGAGGGTCGCTCGACGAGGTTTAGCATTCCTCCCCCATCCCAAGTCTAAGGGACGTGCAGCTGGAGACCTTGGTCACCCTCCCCGCTCAAGACCGGGCTCGCATCTCTGCCGGTTCTGATGAGGACCTCAACAACATGGTTCTTCTAAAGCTTAGTCAGGTATTTGCCTTAATTCCCTTCTCACCCCCTTTCTGTCTTACATTCCTCCCCCTTTCCTTTTGCCCTACATTCGTGATTCCTCATGCTCTGGTTTAGGCCACGCTGGGAATGATCGAGCTCGTCGGCCGGAGGCAAGATCGCCAAGTGACTATGGATGAGGCGAAGAAAGCTGCAGAAGATAAGCAGAGGGAGCTACAGGAGGAGGTCGCTCGCCTTACAAGAGAGTTGGAGGAGGAGAAGGGTCGCTCGACCAAACTGGAGGCCGAGAGGAGCAACCAGGCCCATCGCCTTGAGGAGACGGTTGAGTCCTTCTATTGGGAAAATATTATAGATTTTGATGATGATGTATTTAGATTGTAATAGGAACTTTAGGCCTCCCCCAATATTCAATGTAATTTTTTCTTTTTAGAAATATTGTTAAAACCGAGTTCTTGAGATTTCCAATAAAACTGTGATATTTCTTTAAGTGGTTTGATGCTTGAAGACTCAATCAAATTCAGTGATTTGGAAATTGGATATCTTGATCAGAAATGTCAGAGACAAGTAAGGATTTCTCAAAGCAATGGAAGATCCTCTAATCCGGAACACTACATGATAACCGGATGTCTCGCTACAACCCGCTGAATGCTAAGTCATCCAAATCGGAAGACTAGCGCGGATCTCTTTCTCACCCGGAAGTCTTTGAATGACTCTTCCGGATTTGTCAGCGAAGGAACCGGATGCCTCAGAAAGACCGGAACTCTCACAAGCGGACAAGTGAGAAAAGACTTAGAAAATTATCTAAGTCTTGAATGAAGAAATTCTACCCGTTGGTAAGGAAAAATCAATCTCTGATTTTCAACGGCTAGATTGAAGATATCTACGCTGATTCAAGAACAATTGACTTGAAGACAAAGACTGGACCTCTTAAATTAAAGAGCTCGTCTAGAATTCCTAAACAAGCACTAGAAGACAAATTGAGTAAAGTGCTACAGTCCAGAATTCTTGAACAACAGCTAGAAGACGGATTCTGTGGAAAAAGGAATCCCTCCTCAAACAATTGGGTATGTCCAAACACCCATTCCAATGAGGAATCCTCAATCACAATCTGCATTCAAAATTGAAGCCAGCAAATGCAACGGATAATCTCTTTTGACTCAACGGATAGATTATCCAATCCAGCTATAAAATAGCAACCTTGGAAGACTGGAGAAGATACGATGAGATAGACAAACACAACGAAGCAACCTCTAACAACAAAGCTATCTCATTCACAGTTAGCCCAAAAAGCTTGATAAAGAGAGATTTCTAAACTCCTTATCCAGAAGCAAACTTCTCCTCCTTCCAAAGAGCTATAGTGTAAACACTTGAAGGTTTCCTTGCCTCAAGTACCACACCACGTTGAAGGATATAACTTTTGATCAAACTTCTTGATTAAAAGGGGGTAGATCAACTTTCTTAGATCTTGCAAGTCCTATTGTTCGGATCTTGCAGTTGTTGAAGAAGCGTGACCTTCGAAAAAACAACAAAGCCAGCACGAGTGCAGTAGCAACATTGGCCTTGCGAAGATATACCGTGTAGAAATTCACACAAGTGTAATTGTTGGTTCATTATTCAACAACCAACTACATAGTGGATTTTGAGGACGTAGAAGGATTACCCCACCTTCGAACATCGTTAAAGTTTGCGTGTCTCTCTCTTTTATCTTTACTCTTACTTGCAATTATATTAACTGTGAAAACTAACCCATCCATATTGATTACTGCTCACACTACCCACCAAATTCCGCACACAATCTAAAGTTCACAAGAACTCTAGATTAACACTCATTTTCACATTTTCAAAAGAAACGAAAAAGTTTTAAATTTGTAACAAAGTCTATTCACCCCCCTCTAGACTTTGTATCTCACCACTTTGGGACCACCAATTGGTATCGGAGCAAACATCTCACTATCTACGTTTAGATTAACGAGAAGCGATCATAATGGTGAACAATATGGATCACGGTTTGCCCAAGTTTTCTCTTCTAGGTTATGATGATTGGAAGATCATGATGGAAGCACATCTCTATGCTCTACATGACTGCATGTGGATGGTGCTTGAAGATGGACCCTTGAAAATCCAAATGGAGAATCCTGAGAGGAATCCAGCCACTCTAGATGTAGTTCAGTACGTTCCAAAGCCCAAGGAGAAATGGGATGATAGGGATTGCAAAAAGCACAATCTGGACAACGTCGCCAAAGCAGCCATCTTCAAGACACTTGATCCCATCACCTTCTCCAAGATCAAGCATCTCAAGACTGCCATGGAGATATGGCAAGGTCTTGGGAAGCTATGTGAGGGATCAGAGGATTTGAGAAAGCAAAAGATGGAAGTTCTGCTTGAGAAGTTCGAGAGCTTCAAAATGCTTCCCGGAGAATCATTTGATATGTTGGATGAAAGATTCCACAAAATTTTAAATGATCTTGCATCACTTAACCACGTTCTTTCTCCCAAAGAAAAGAATGTAAGGTTACTGAGATCACTTCCAACTGAGTGGTACACCAAAGCCACAGCCATGGAAGAAGGAAGAAACCTGGAGAACTACACAGTCCAAGGTCTCCTTAATGAGCTCAGAACCTATGAGCACGAGCTGAAGAAGAAGAAGGAAGAACAAGTCACTCCCTTCCCCACGACATTGATGACAAATCCAAGAGTCCCATCAAGTGAAGGGACATGCACAAGGAACTGTGACACACCTTCCTCCAGCCGGCCGTCAAGCTCAAAAATGGAGAACTACGATGAGGAATTTGCCATGATGGTCAAGCAATTCCGGAAGTTCAAGAAGTTCTTCAAGAAAGCTGACTCAGTCAGAAGGCCATCCAAGGGAAAGCCACATGTAAGTGACTTCCCTCCTGAATCTTATTTATGTTACAACTGCAGGAAGCCTGGTCATTGGAAGTCAGCATGCCCGTACCCAAAAGTGGAGAAGTACAGAGAAAGAGAAAGGAACGAGAAGAAAATGAAGGCAATGGTTGCAGCTGAAAGTGACAAGTCATCCAGTTCAAGCTCGGATGAAGAAGCCCTCGTCTGCATGGAGCGCAGAGCTGAGAAGTCCAACCATGAGGACCGGTGGACTATGTCAGAAGATGACACCCTCTGTCTAATGGCCAAAGATGATGCTGATCAAGAGGTAACCTCACAAACCTCTTGCTCATCTTCTTATGAAAGCATACCAACTTCTGAAAATCTTCTTGACTAGTTCAAAAAGATGATGGAAGATTTTGAGGAAATAAATCTCAAACACTCATCCTTAACAGAGGAGAACAAGCTGTTAAGTGAAGAGAATCTCAAATTGACTGAAGGTCAGAAAAGTCAACTAAATGAGATCACTCAACTTAAAGCAGAAAATGAATCTCTCTCTGAAAAGGTGAAATCCCTTAACAAGGAGCTAGGGATACTTAAGTCCAAAGAAGCAGTGGATAAGCTTCTTGAAACGACCAAACATACAGGTCGTGAAGGACTTGGGTTTGACCCCTCCAGTTCCAAAAGGAAAGGAAGAACAACTTTCATCCCTCCTAAACCTACTGCCAAACCAAATAAGCAGAAAGGAAAGGAGAAGGAGAAATCCACAGAAGTTCCCAAAAAGGTAGTCCCTCCTAAGAACTATAGGAAGTCGGACAGACCTCAAAAAGGAAATAATTTCAGAAGAAAACCCTCCAACCCCCAATACACACGAGGCTATACTCATTATGGGGTAGACAGGAGTTTTCCGAGAAATTCTGAGTGGAGAACTATGCCAAGATATAGTCATCCTCCACCCCAGAAAATGTTTGTTCCACCTAAGTATGCTTATAACCGTCACAGGCCACACTATGCACAACCTAGACAAAACTATAGGTCTTATCAACCTAAGTTTGCTAGGAGGAAACAGGAAACTGCACCACCAGCACGTAGGAAGTTTTATGGCTACAACTATGACTATAATCCCAACAAGTTAAGGGCTGCAATGAAAATTCCCTGCAACTTCAAACTTGATGTAGGGACACACACCATTAACTATTCCGGACCCAAACTTAATTGGGTACCAAAATCTTCCTCCTCCTAATGCAGGAAGCCGCTAAGTACCCAGGTGTCTGGTACTTAGACAGTGGCTGTTCAAGACACATGACGGGTGATGCGAGCCTTTTGAGCAATCTAATTCCCTATGATGGTCCAAGAGTTACTTTTGGAGGAAGCAATGATTTTGGCCTTACTAAAGGGCTAGGAAATCTGGTGTACAAGGGACTAACCATCCAAGCTATATCTTATGTTGAAGGTCTCAATTATAACCTTCTTAGCATAAGTCAGTTTTGTGATAAAGGTTACTCCTTGGAATTCTGCAAGGACATGGCATCTCTCAAGAACATCTCCACAAATGAAGTCATTCTCACTGGCAAGAGAATCAGGAATATCTATGAAGTAATATGGGACGATGTCAAGGAAGCATGTCTAATCAGCAAAGGTGACACTAACCTTCTATGGCTTTGGCATAAGAGGTTGAGTCATCTCAACTTCAAAACTCTCAACAAGCTGTCCAAAGAAGGGTTAGTAGAAGGCCTTCCCAATGCTGTATTGAGGAAGGAAAGCATTTGTGATGCTTGCCAGAAAGGAAAGCAAGTCAAGTCCACTTTCAAGGCAAAACCGGCACCCTCAACTACAAGGATATTAAGTCTTGTTCACATGGACTTATTACTCCAATAAGTCTAAGTGGAAAGAAATATGTCCTGGTGGTAGTTGATGATTACTCAAGATACACGTGGACAATCTTCCTCAACAGCAAGAAGGAAACGCAAGGGAAGCTCACAAACTGCATGAAGCTGATTCAAAACCAAGCAAGTCAGACTAGGGGTGTGCATTATTTGGTCCAGACCCGGACCGACCCGAAACCCGGCCAAAACCGGACCGGACTGGTCCGGACCGGTCCTTATCCGGTCCGGTCTCCGGTCCTCATTTTTTCCTTATTCGGGTTCCGGTCCGGTCAGGTCCGGTCCACCGGGTTTCGGTCCGGACCGGTGGTTCGGTTAGATTCTATTTTTTTAAATATTTTTTTCTATATAAGTTTATAATATTGTATTTTTTTAAGGTTTTTTCTTATACTTAAAATTAGTTTAACTTTAATGCTAAATTTTTTTAAATGTTTTGATTTTATTATTTAATATAATTTTTTAAATACATTTTAATTCAAAATAAGATACCAATTGTAATGCTTTTTAAATATTTTTAATATTAAAAGTGTGAAAAAGTAAACATTACCTTTATATTAGCGATCTCATGCATTTCAAATTTATGTACCAATACTATAACTTAAATTTGTACTTTATCAATGATAAAACTCTAATCCGCAGAACAAACATTGTTAACAATCTCATGGACAAAAATAATAAAAAATGTATCTGTTTGTCAAAATAAATTGAAAACTCAAAAAAATATTACAAGAAAACAAAAATGTACTAAGAAGAAGAATATTCCCTATGCAAAATAAAAATTATGAACAAGTTTTATGTAATA